CGGAGAAATTCGTCCAACCCAAGTCGAAGTGAATAAATTCGTCCAACCCAAGCCGAAGTGAATAAGCTCGTCCAACCGAAGCCGAAGAGAAGAAGTTAATTCGCGCACTGACGGCAGAGATGAGTGAACAATAATTCAGACTCTGAAGAGAGAGTTAGTTGCAGCCACGGACGGCGAGAGCAATCAGCCGTGAACGACAGGTAGAGATCAGCGCCCAGTGTCGAAACCAAACCACACCCCGAAATGCAAATTTCTAGAGAGCAGGCAACTCGAAGCCTTAAAGTTGTATGGTAGAAGCTTGGTGCCACGGACCACAGAACGGGTCGGGAGGTAGGAATAATCTTGTGTAACGAACAAATAGATATAAAAAGTTGTTACCTTTTTCTTCAATATTTTTTACCTTGTGAGCTTTTATTTTTCTTGTGTGTTATCACCCCCGTTGGACTCAGCTTGCATACGGCCCAATCCCTGTTTGATCCCGTCTGTCTAAGATCTAATCACAACGTGGGTAGGCAGACCGGAGATCAGTGCAGTTACCCTGGTAACCAGGCGTTGGAAGCGGGTTGGGAACGACGAGGCTGGTATTCATCTAACCCAAGGGTTAGAACGTCACACATGGAGCAACGAGGAGCGAACAGCTGACGCCGCGGCAAAGACGTCACAACTGGTGTCGTGATCATAGGATCAGAACCCCGGACCACGTCACGTCACAATTGGCGCCGCGAACGAGATCGAACGACACAGTCGACGCTGCGACCAGTGGGGACGACGTCACACCACCGTGAGAGAGTAGGGAAACCTCTTGACGCCCTCTGAGGGGATTGGTGTGAGATACCAATATGAGAAAGGAAGAATTTGGGAGGACGATACCCTTAAGAATCCCTCTAAAGCAAAAAGTAATGGACTCCCAAAAATGGAAAGTGATAAATTTTCCTGTCTGAAAACAAAGAAATCCTTATTGTGAATTTAGAATTATCAAGGAACCCCAAACCACGACAAGCTCACACCGGTTTTGGTCGGCGTACATATAAGCAGAGTCGCAGCGAGTAGAGTCAGTTGGAGGAAATGGTTGGAGTTGCAGTTGGAGAGGCAGACGCAGACGCAGAGTTGAGCTGTGAGCTCTGAGACCAGCCTCGCAGTAAGCTGACTGAAGATCCACGCATCCCGACTTCGACTTCTAACCAAGAACAATTTATTTTTGAAGAACGACTTAGACTCACACCAGAAAAACAAGTTTTACGAATATCGTCTGAAGATACACCAAAAAACCGTTTGTTGAAAAAACAACTTAAGATATTAAGAATCGCCTAACAAACGCAAAGTGTCACGTATCCATATAAGAGGTTTGGGAGAAAGATGCAGTCCTGTATTCAGCAACCAGATATAAAAATATTTGTTATTCTTTTTTAACACATTTGAACTTTTCGAGTTGTTACTTTCTTTTCTTTTACATATACTTGTGCGATGTTAACTTTGCTCGGACTCGGCTTGCATTGCGGCCCGGTGACTGATTGATTTCGTCTACCTAAGATCAAATCACAACGTGGGTAGGTTAGACTAGATATCAAAGCAGTTACTTCGGTAACCAGACGTTGGAGGCGAGCTTGGAACGACAAAGCTGATACCGAATCTAACCAGATTCCCATCCGAATCGGCCAAGGGTTAGAACGTCACATTTGGTGCCGCGACCAATACCAAGTCAATTGGTCGTCAAAGGATAGTACGGCGACGAGCGCGCAGAGGCCCGGGGGTGACGTCACAATTGGTGCCGTGACAAGGATAAGACCCTGGATCAGCCGCTGCCACATGAGTTGCAGAAAATTTCGACCAGGACAACCCCTGGCGTCTAAAGTACTCAAATTGAAACAGACTAGAGCGGGAACTAAAGGACTTTGGTTAACTATAACCATACGGTTCCAGACACTCTAGTACGACAACCCGGAACCTGAGAAGAACGAGCTGGAAATCGTCTGTCAGGTAGGACACTTTATTTTCGGTTAATCTCATTGGTCGTCACAGGATAGCACGGCTATCACAAGTGGGAAAAATTTAAATCTGCATGGCACTTTACTCCAATTGGCTCATTCGCTTGCTTAAAATCAACGTTGATTCTGATTCCGCAGAACTGGGTTTACTGTGAAAATGTATTTGTTGTTAACATTCTTTTTTCATTCGGTTTTTCCAGTTACGAGTTCCTTTTTAAAGCTGATCGTTTTGTATTCATTTTGTTTAGTTCTTTTTTCGTAATAGATTTAATGTTTAGTATAGAGCGATTGCTGTATAGGTCGTACGCTGCTAGTATATATATATATATATGGGGGAAATGTATGACAAAGTGGAAAAGGATTTTTTGTGACACGGTTTCGTCATTTAGGACTTCATCAGACTTAATTTGTTATATGGGTACGACCGCGCATGCGCATGAACGAGGGATGATGGGAATTTTAATTTTTAAAATATAATTTTTGTTTTATTTAATCTAAGTTCTTTATCTTTTTCTTTACATCCTTTTTGTTATCAGATAACTACACTCTGTGATAATAGAAGCTCTGCCAGGAATGGTGAAATAGTGTAAGATCCAGAGCACAAATTTAATGTAGATGACTTTGCGATCAAGGCATTCTTTAAACATTTTCGTCCTAGTTAATTATTTTTCCTTTGATCATGACAAAACTTTTATGTTAAAATTGTTATCCATCCCGTGACGGTGGCCAACCGACGCATTTGATGTATAGCATCCCGCTACCCCTTCCTTATCAATGTATAATTTTATACATTTTTGTGCAAAAAAGTGGATCAGAGAGCCTACTCAGCTTAGTAAATATTTTCAGGAAATATCAGATTCTAATTGGTCAATAAACACGCAGGTTGGCGTTGCAATCCACTCATGTACATATATTTTTACAGCGCGTGACTAAGTCATGTTTCCCGCCATGGTGCTGTGATCTTGTCACGTGATTACATTATCTATAAATAGCATACACAAGCTTGCTTTCTCTCTCTCCTTTCTTCATTCGCCTAAGATGTGATCTTCAGCATTCTCGTCTCGAACATGACGGTCAGACGTTAAAAGCATATTCACGCATGCACGTACGTACGAACATTTCCAACCTACATTACAAACATACAGAACATTTCCAAACATTTATTTCTATTTGAAATATTCATCTAAATCTACAGTTTTATAATTAATTCAACTTTTGTAAATACAGATAAAAATATTCCCAGTCTAAGAGACATAACACCAACAGATCTTTAACTTCTACGCATGTACATCAACACAGAAATAAATATAATGTTGTTTTAAAACCATTTTGTTCCTTCTTGCATTTCATATTTAATATAAATTGTGTGATCATGTTATTCATGCAGCCGTAAACAAACTTCTACAATTGTCCATTTTTATTACCAGGCTACCACAGATGTATTGTTTTGTAAAATTTCCCTTTTGTTTTCATATAAATTTTATTTTTTTTCTTTGACGTTTCTCCTATGCATTTTTTGGGACAATTATATCAGGTGATCGAGTAAAATGTTCTTTCAAGTTTTAGCTTAATGTTTTGTATTGATTAAATCTTTTATTGTTTTAGCTGTAGTAGTAACATACGAAGCAGTTTGGAGTAATGGATAGCAACTCGGATTTAGGAATCGAAGATCCGATTTCGAAATCCAGTCGAATCCATTACATTCAAAAGAAATGGTAATCTACTGCTGGAAAAATATGCCCCTCCTGTCATGTATCGAAAGATACATGACCGCCTCAGCATGTATCACGCATCGCACATAACTAATTGTAGTAGTAACAAATTGCAAGTTGAACTTAGTTCTTTTTTTTTTTTTAAATTTACAATCTAAATGAAATCGGCTAAATAAAAATAACAAAATTTTTAATTTAAAATTCACATTTTCAAGGAGGTTATCTTCTTAAGTGTTGTAAATTTCTTTTCATTTTTGTCCGTTTACGATGTACTTATTTCTGATGTCTAAAGAGTAGAAACATTTATTCCCAGTGTCGCGAATCTCCATTTATATATATATATATATATATATATATATATATATATATATATAGAAACGAAGGAATATTAATATACAACCCAGTGTTTCTGAATATTTAAAATTTTTAATATTCCTTCGTTTTTATTATTTTATTTAGATTCCTCGACTAGTTTCGGCCAACATGGCCATCATCAGGAGAAAAATAATTTTCTGCTTGTTGGTAGCAGTGAACTACAGAAATGAATGTCTTGATGGAAAAAAATGAACGTTTGTCTGTATTTTTCATTTGATTTATTTTTTTTTTTTAACATGAATTTTGGTCTGTCCTTGTGTGGGTCAAACTGTCTCTTTTAATTTGTTATTTCAGATAAGAGCTGGATAGATTCATGCTGATCTGAATTCCCTTGGTCATTTTGACAGATTTATTGGTTTCTGGAAAGAGGATGTGCCTCTGTTATGTGTGTGTATGTGTTATTTGGTTCTTAGGGAGTGAATATATATATATATATATATATATATATATATATATATATATATATATATATATATATATCATTGTCCCTCGGATTTATTCCTGAAGGTGATCTAGCTTTTTACACCATTTCAAATTATTCATCCGGGTCCTGCTCACCTTCTTTTCTCACATGATTCACAGATTCTGCCAAGCTCCTACGCCGAACAAGAGAAAAGCGTTAAAACTTAATAACTTACTGAACACTAATTAGGTTCTCATTAAATTATCGTTAATTGCTAATGTCACGAGAACTTACTGGCGCGGGAATTTGCGCTTTGAGCATGCGACGATGTCAACTGAGTATTAAGCAATAAATAAAAGTCAATGACGACGACGACGACGACGACGAGAATAAGGAGAAGAAAAATGAAAGGGGTGAAAAAAGGAATTGGACTGATGAGAAAGACAGTATCTTCGAGGGATGTAAGGATCGGCGGTGGGAGCGTTTCTTAAGTGTAAGGTTAATTAGTTACGTTCTGGGAAAAAGATGGGAAAAGATACGTCAATGTATTTTTATCAAACATTTCATCTCTTTGCTGCCCGAGTTTCATATCTATCTATCTATCTATCTATCTATCTTAGGCTGTATCTATCTATTTTAGCATCTATCTATCTATCTATCTCAGTCTGCTTCTTATCTATATACCTATCTCAATTTTTTCCTATCTATCTATCTATCTATCTATCTATTTTAGTCTCTATCTATCTATCTATCTATCTATCTACCTATCTATCTATCTATCTATGTCTGTCTGTTTGTCTGTTTGGCGGGCTGTCTCTTTATCTTAATCTGTTCATATCTATCTCTCTATCTATCTATCTCAGGTTTTCCATTTCTTTTTGGCTGACTGTCTCTTTATCTATCTTAATCTGTTCATATCTATCTATCTATCTATCTATCTATCTATATCAGGTTTTCCATTTCTATCTATCTGTTGTGACCAAGTAAATGGTTAAGAAACAACAAGTATGCAGATATATCATATATTAAAGAGTAAATACAACAGAGGAATATTACACGACTAGTGAGTTTGTGTCGGTTGACCCAGCGTTCAATCTATTCGACTGTTAATATGTAACAGTCCCCTCCCCACGAGGGTGTATGTGGCACAAGGCGGAGTTTATCGTGGGTTCTCCGAGCCCGTAGGCTCGGCCCAAAATATTCCCTTAGAATCCGTATAAATGGATTCAGGGTCTGTCTACCCTCTTGGAAGAAACTGTGCCCTTCGGCAAAGCATCGTCCGGGTTCCTCTCTGCTGAGGCAGAGAGTTCGACAGTTGATCAATCTAGTCGAATGTTCCCCAAAGCCTTCTCTCCTACTAATCTTATAGTAGGCGGAAGATTCCACCATAGACTCTGTAGAGTGTGAACACCACAACACTGTCTCAGTCTGTTTCTTATCTATATACTTATCTCAATCTTTTCATATCTATCTATCTCAGTCTGTCTCCTATCTATCTATCTATCTATCTATCTATCTATCTATCTATCTATCTCAGTCAGTGTATATCTCTCAGTTTCTTTTAATAATCCCTGTTACATTAAATACGGCAGACAAGGAATATTTTGTTTATACATTTTTTCTAACAGTCATACAATTTTCATTGATTTGGACTCAGTGTGTGTAGGAAGTGTCCACAATGATTATGGCCCCTATTCCTTTCGAATACTTTCTATCGACCATTTGTCTACAAGAAAATGAACAAAAACTGACAAAATGCTCCTTCAATCTCGTATTTAATGAACACACACACACACACACATATATATAAATATATATATATATATATATATATATATATATATATATATATATATATATATATATATATAAACCTAAAAAAGCCAGGTAAACCTTTCTAGGTTTCATCTCAACGGATCGTCAGAGTAAAACTATTGTAGGAGTTACCTCCTCCTCAGTTCCCTAATTCTTCACCAGGGGTCTCCCTCCCCATGCTATAAATACCGGGCGACCTCTTGCCTCGATCTCTTTTTCACTCAGGCCTCGTGCCGCATTCCACCTCGCGTGGAGGTGAGGTAAATCTCTTTTTCATCTTCATTTCAGCGACAAGATGTAAGCTCTTAGAAGATCAGCGTTTCCCATTTCTGGAAAACGCTATGAACATTAGAAACATTCACCAAAATAAGATTCACCAAAGAACACACACAATGTTATGTCTATGTGCCTTGTAATTTGTTTAATACATATTTATTGATTATATATGTGTGTGTGTGTGTGTGTGTGTGTGTGTGTGTGTGTGTGTGAGAGAGAGAGAGAGTGTGTGTGTGTGTCTTGTTTGTCTTCTTTATCTTCAGTTGGACTTAACTTGAGTCCGGCAATTTTCTTTGTAGTTGGACCTTTTAATATTCTACCAAGAGTTACACACGTGTTTCTAATACAACAACACGTAAATACACACACGGTCCTCTACACTATATATATATATATATATATATATATATATATATATATATATATATATATATATATATATATATATATTAGCGCATCTATTTATGTATCACTCGATAAGATAATATTAAACAAGTTCGTCTCTTTTTTAAAGATAATCTACAAATCTTAATTAAAACATATATTTATTAACAAAAATCCTTTATTACAAGAATTACAATCACTTTCCAAAAAACTTATCAAACTGGAATAAAAATATTAATTAAATTTAAGATTTGCAAATGTAAGTTATCCCTTACATTTACACAGTGTATTTTTGTTTGACCTCGTTTCCACTGCAAATAATTTTAAACTGCTCGCTTAAAAATCCCAATGAGACATTTTCATTTTTTTAGTAAACTCTGCCTATTGCATTCAAACAAGATAACATATTGTGTATGAAATGGGTGCGGTTACAGACTACTTTTTAAACAAATAAGCCAAGATCAAAAGACCTTCATGAAGCTTTAAATAATCGCAGACAACGATGGTGAATGCTAGGAAAAGCATTTCAAACGATTTGGTTTGCATATATCCATCGTACAACAAATTATTTATGAATGAAAGGTCTCTCGTATGATGGCCGCGCAATCAAGAATTGGCCGTCTGCGAAAGAATAATTACAAGACATCTGTTTCAGCAAGCCAAGGGTGAATTGTGCTCTGGCATCTGCAGTTCTCCACGGATTCCTGGTGAATGTCGGAATCAATCTTTACACTGCGACTACATCTGAACGACGCTTATGTTCATGGCAGAATACATGAAAAAATGCCACTGTTTACGGAAAAGTACAAACTCGGGTCATCTATGTCAAAGCTAATATTAATAAGATAGAAATATTATCTTCAGGAAAGTAACTTCACCTCTTGTTCGATAGTAGGATTTAGGTAATGGCTGGATCTTACAAAAGGACGATGATCCGAATCATAAGAGGAAATCCGTAGTAGAATGGTTTGGAAAAAGATATTTCAATACTTCGAAATATCTAGTCAAAGTCCTGATCTAAATCCAATTGAAAAAATCTGTGGTTCCAATTAAAGAAGGTAGGACATGCAAGAAACCCAGCAAATATCATTGTGCAACTTTGTGAGTTTTACCAAGAGCAATGGTAAAAAGTATATATATATATATATATATATATATATATATATATATATATATAATATAAATGAAAGAACAGATGGTGTAAAAATTCATTGTTCATAGAAATTACTTTTAAAATGTGCTCAATACAAAGTAGAGCAATAGAGCAATATATTATTTTTATATTTTTAGCATAAGAGATTAAAATATAATAATAATTATTATAATATAATATAATAATTATAATAATAATTTATATTTTTATCATAAGAGATTATAATAAAAATATTTTGAAATCGCTAAACAAAAGCTTTCATGTTTCAATACATCGCTTGAAGAAGGAGTCAATATTGAAACATGAAAGCTTTTTGTGTAGCGATTTCAAAATATTTTTATTATAATCTCTTCTGAGAAAAATATAATAATAATATATTACTCTACTTTGTATTGAGCATATTTTAAAAGTAATTACTATAAACAATGCATTTTTGCACCATCTGCTCTTTCTTTTGATTATATATATATATATATATATATATATATATAAAAGGTATATTTAGGCAGCAAGTCCATCCAAATAAATTTGATTAAAAAGAACGAACAAGGTCTGTACGCACATTTTATATTATTAATAATAATAATGAATTAAAAATGAATAAAATAAAATAAAACAAAATAAAATTAATTAATTAATCGCATTCTTTTTGTGCGGCCTCGTTCCCAAAAGCCGTTACGCATGACGTCACGCTAAAGGCCCAACGTCCAAAAGAATAACAGGATGCCGACAAAGGGATTCTTACAACCATACAGACATCACATAGGTTCTTGATAATGTTAGTGTGTCTAGACAACCGATGGCTTCAAGCCGGGATCGAGACCCGACTGATTCGGAAACAGGCGGAGATCCCCCCCACCCTGCCTAAGCGCACGGTTAAAAGAAAGGCGAATTTCTACGGACTTATTCTGTAAATAAACACGCCAATGACTGACACTGCTCAATTCGGCAAGAGTTTGTAATAGCAGTATTAATCATTGTTTACAAATATATATATATATATATATATATTAAGGCAGATTTAGTTAAATAATTTAAACATGATCTGTCTACTTATTTTCGAGAAGCTCCTTTCATATTCGCGGATAAGCATTTTTTGTGCGGTTGTTAAAAGGCGAGAGTAAAACACCATGTTGGTTCATACTGTATTTATTTCCGTGTACTTTCGACATAGTATAATGTCACAATCAGAGTATTGTTAATTATAGAGTAAGTATTTAGTGTTCATGATGTGAAGGACAAAAATTTTAATTTATTATTTTTTTATCAGACGTGTATTGAGCACATATTTATAAATTTGCTTCATTCAACTCTGGCCATTAACTTAACAAAAATATTAAGCTAATAAATGAACAATTTTGCTTTTATACAATTTGGACCATTCTGCTGTTACGACCGATATACATACATATATATTTGCGATAAACAGACAAACCCTGAGTTTGTCTGATGATCACAAATGCGTGAAACCCAGTGTTACAAACTCATATCTTATATATGTTAGTCCTGTCATTGATATTGAGCACTTTCCAATAAGTACCGCGCATAATATAATATTAATATATATAGAAATTATATATAATTATTTATAATAATCAATTTGCTTGTATGTGAATATATGCCTCTCTCTCTCTCTCTCTCTCTCTCTCTCTCTCTCTCTCTCTCTCTCTCTCTCTCTCTCTCTCTCTCTGCATATATGTAAACCACCTTGGGTCTTTTCTTTAATCTGAATACGTATACGTATTTTATTACTATATATATATATATATATATATGTGTGTGTGTGTGTGTGTGTGTGTGTGTGCGCGCGCGTATGTGTGTTTGTGTGTTTGTATATGTGTGTGGTTTGCGCATGTTAATATCGCATATTACATATGTGTGTGCTGATATATCATATTATATATTATAATAGCAGCCGATGTAATCGATTGATATGCCTGTCAGATATTAATGCCTGCTGCTTTTATCCAACCGCTGAAATGAGATGATGTTCGTTGCCCATAGATACTCTAAGAAATTATCAATGTCGTAAATATAATTCCCGTTTTTCATTGTATGTTTAACCTTTATGGACAGAAAACGTCAGGTTGCTGAAGCTTTTATTGCATACCGAAGACGATTTTCCTTATAAAAATCCCCGTCCGAAAATCGGGCACCATATAAAAACAACAATCTTCGACAAAACCTTCTTCCCTATGTCATGCCAGGACCGTGAAACCGAGTTCTTATTTAATTCTACTTAGTTTTTTTGGGTTTTGTTGTTGTTGTTGTTGTTGTTTTGCCTATTTTTCGTATAATGTCATTTCACGACCCCCGAAACCCCTTAGATATATAATGGTAGCTCACGTCCTAAAAACAAGGAGCACTCGGGAAATAGTCTGACGAAACCTATCGCTCTTCAGTCTAATTTTAAATTCATAGTTTTCTTTCTCTCAGACTGGGTGCAAGAGAGCTCTTAGCCAGCACTTGTATTTAAACCATATATGGGGGGCTGAGGTGTAGAAAGAGATAAATCACTTTTACAATGTGTACGTATCCAACTATATACGTAACAAACCCGGACAATCGATTTCTCTTCCAGGCTCGTTAAACATTTCTAGCACTGCTAGTCATGCACCCATTTATAATAATCATCTCGGACATATGTTTTTTTTGTTTTGTTTTGTTATTTTTTTTTTTTTTTTTGTAAATATGACGGTTATTGATTTCAATCTCAAATATTTTTTAATCCAGCTTCCTTAATATTTGACGAATATCTTGAATTTTCCATCAAAGGTCATTAATAGAAGCTTGACTAACTGGACAAATACTAACCAGTGTTTTCAGTCCAGTATCATTGCATCAGAAATGGGGCTAACACACACAAAAAATTAACCTGTTCTCTTTCTAGCTGAATTTTCTTTTCAGTGATTCTTACCAAAAATGGTTTCAAGATGT